GTTAGGGACCATGTGCTGGGGACCACATTGTTGGGACCATGATGTTGGGGACCACATTGTTGGGACCGTGATGGTGGGGACAATGTGAGAGGGACCATGTGCTGGGGACCACATTGTTGGGACCATGATGCTGGGGACAATGTGACAGGGACCATGATATTGGGGACGATATTGTTGGGACCATGTGCTGGGGACAACATTGTGGGGACCATGATGCTGAGGGCCATGATGCTGGGGACAGTGTGCCAGGGACCACATGTTGGGGGCCACATCGTTGTGACCACGATGCTGGGGACAACGTTCCAGGGTCCAAATCCTGGGGACCACAGACTGGGGACCACATCATTGGAAACATGATATTGGGGACAATGGGACAATGTGCCAGTGACCACGTGTTGGGGACCGTGATGGTGGGGACCACATGCCAGGGGGCCACACACTGGGTGCCCCATCCTGGGGACCACATGTTGGGGGACAGTGTGTGAAGGACCACATGCTGAGGGGGCCACATCCCAGGGATGGTGACCACCCGCTGGGGACTATGTTCCAGTCACCACGTGCTGGGGACGTGGCACTCGGTGCCCTGGGCACCATTCCTTGTCCTCCTCCTCCTCATCATCATCATCATAGAATCATAGAATTTCCCAGGCCGGAAGGGACCTCCAAAGCCCATCTAGTCCGACCCCCCCGCAGTCAGCAGGGACACCCCCAACTAGACCAGGTTGCCCGGGGCCTCGTCGAGCCTCTCCTTGAATATCTCCAGGGAAGGGGCCTCAACCACCTCCCTGGGCAACCTGTTCCAGTGCTCCACCACCCTCACAGTGAAGACCCCCCTCCTCATCTCCAGTCATCATCCTTCTTCTTCTGCCATGGGTGTGAGCGTGGGTTTTTGGCAGTGATGTCCCCATCGTGTCCCCCCCTCCACATCCTCTCACGAGAGCTGGTGGCGACTCACAGGCCTTGTGGAGATGGAGACAGGGCCACCACTTGCCCTCACTTCCTTGCCCACCCACCCACCCCACGCCGGTGGGGCCGGACACCTGGGTGATGGGCGAGCAGGGGTGCAGGGGGGGTTGGCTGGAATTGTTGTGGGGGGAGCTGGGGGGGCGACATTGAGCGTGGTGGCTGCAGGAAGGCGGGTGAGGTCCCTGCCGTGGCCGTTCTTCTCGGGGGCTGGATCTCCTCCAGGGAGCCGTGATTTAATCCGCCCTGACGGCGCCTGACCTTGGAAACCCGCCCATGGACGCCTGCCATCCACGCTGGGAGGCAGCCAGAGCCCCCCCTGCCCCCCCCGGGGGGGTCCCCTGGGTGCGGGGAGGGGTTGGGATGGATGGAGAGGAGAGCCAGGCACCCCTGGGGGACATCTCCCCATGGGCACGGCCACCCCTTTGCCCCCCCAGCCCCTCAGTGATGCTGGTGGCCGTGGGGAGCTCGGCACGGCCTGGGAGAAGGGCTTTGCTTTTGGTGCCCCCCCCCCCCGAAATACTGACCGAGTTGTGGGGCTGGGGGGTGGCAGTGACACCAGTGGCCACCTGCCTGTGTGCCTGGTGTGCCCATGACATCCCCTGCCCATGACATCCCCTGCCCATGACGTCCCCTTCCTTGTGATGTCCCCTTCCCTTGATGTCCCCTGCCCATGATGTCCCCTTCCCATGGTGCCCCCTGCCTGTGATGTCCCCTGTCCATGATGTCCCCTGCCAGTGACATCCCCTTCCCGTGACATCCCCTGCCCATGACATCCCCTTCCCATGATGTCCCCTGCCCATGACATCCCCTGCCTGTGACGTCCCCTGCCCATGACATCCCCTTCCCATGACGTCCCCTGCCCATGACATCCCCTGCCCATGATGTCCCCTTCCCATGACATCTCCTGCCCATGATGTCCCTTGTCCATGACGTCCCCTGCCTGTGATGTCCCCTTCCCATGATGTCCCCTTTCCATGACATCTCCTGCCCATGGAGTCCCCTGCCTGTGATGTCCCCTGTCCGTGATGTCCCCTGCCCATGACATCCCCTGCCTGTGACGTCCCCTGCCCATGACATCCCCTTCCCATGATGTCCCCTGCCCATGACATCCCCTGCCTGTGACGTCCCCTGCCCATGACATCCCCTTCCCATGACGTCCCCTTCCCTTGATGTCCCCTGCCCATGATGTCCCCTTCCTGTGATGTCCCCTGCTTGTAATGTCCCCTTCCCATGATGTCCCCTTTCCATGACATCCCCTGCCCATGGAGTCCCCTGCCCGTGATGTCCACTTCCCATGATGTCCCCTTCCCATGACACCCCCTGCCCGTGATGTCCCCTGCCTGTGACATTCCCTGCCCATGGAGTCCCCTTCCCATGACATCCCCCGCCCATGACGTCCCCTTTCCATGATGTCCCCTGCCTGTGACATCCCCTGCCCATGATGTCCCCTTCCCTTGATGTCCCCCACCCATGACGTCCAGTTTCCATGATGTCCCCTGCCTGTAATGTCCCCTTCCCATGACGTCCCCTTCCCATGATGTCCCCTGTCCTTGACATCCTCTTCCCATGACATCCCCTGCCCATGATGTCCCCTGCCCATGATGTCCCCCACCCATGACGTCCACTTTCCATGATGTCCCCTGCCCATGACATCCCCTGCCCATGACATCCCTTTCCTGTGACGATGGGGGGCTGTGACCCCCAACCGTGGGGTCACCCATCCCACACCAACCTCCCGTTGGCTTTTATCCCCAGACCCTTTCCCGAATTCCAGGCCACGGTGTTTCCCCCCCAGAGCTGTCCCTGCACCGGGTGACATTCCAACAAGCCCCGGGTGACATTCCATCAAACCCCATAGTAGCTTGAATTTTCCTGACCTGCCTCCCGGACTCATCCTCCTCTTTTTCCCCCCCTTTTCTCCCCCCCAGTTGTTCTGACAATACTTTTCCCCAGGAGTTCGTCAGGCAATCCTACCTTCTTTGCATTTTTATGCTGGTTTTAAGAAAAAAAAAAAAAAGCCATTTTTAAGCTGGTTTAAAAGCCAGGAAGAGCTGAGGGTTGAAGGGTTTTGGGTTTTTTTTGGGATGCTCCATCACGCCCTGGCTCCGGGTGACGGTGGTGGCACCCCTGGGAGAAGGTTGTAGGGCTCAAATCCAGCCCCACATCTGGGTTGGGGTGATGGGGGGCAGCACCAGGACTTCCCCATGTCCCCCTCCCTGTTGTGATCCCCCCCCATGTCCCCCCATGTCCCCCCGTGTCCCCCAGCCTCAGCCTCCTCCAGCTGAAAATCCGGTGAAACAGTGAGGAAGGGGCTTTTCTGGGGCAGCAGAGCGGTGGGTTTGGGTTGAATTGGCTCAGAATTGGGGCTGTGCGGATGTGGGGGGCGCCTCGGGGGGTGGTCGGGGTTTTAATGGTTTAACCCCAGTCAGAAACTGGGGTTAAACCCCCCACCTCTCCCCACCCCCCCCAGAGACGAGTAGGGTAGGGAGAAAAGTGAGAAAAAAGGGGGAAAAAACCCTCCTGGATTGAGATAATTTAATAGAATAGTAATGGAAGAAATAATAATAATAATAATGATAATAATGATGATAATAATAATAATTATCATTATAATAATGATGTTGATAATAATAATAGTAAGAATAAGAATAGGAATAGGGATAGGAATAGGAATAGGGATAGGAATAAGAATAGGAATAGGAATGAGAATAATAGTAAAAAAATACACAAAAATAATGCTCTATATCAATATTACATTAATATTTTGTATTAATATATCTATATGATAAAGCCACTCTTGCCCCCCCCATGACTGATCCCCCAGCCCATCCTGAGCAGTGATTGCGGATCCCTCTCCCCCCACCCCAGCCCCCCCCCAGTTTCTACACCGAGGCTGTGTCCGTGGCACTCAATATTCCCGTGGCCACCTTGTCCTCTCCGTGCTCCCTCTGGGCTTCCGTGGGAAGGCAGAAGAAGTCCTCTCCTCCTGTAACCAAGGCAATGTGTGTGGTCAGCGTTGTTCTCCTCCCAAACTCACAGCACAGCAGCTGCTGGAGAAAAAATTAACTTAATCCCGAAATCAGGGTGGTGTTTGAGCATTCGGGCTTTGATTCTGGTTTCTTTTCTGGTGGCTTCGGGTGGTATCACAGGACTTTTCCACCCCTCCCGTGACCTTTGGTGGCCTGGTCACTGAGCCCTGCTCATGGGGATCAGAGAGCTGTTGGGGGGCAAATATGGCAGCAGGGCTACCTGGCCTGGTCTGGGGGTCCAGCTGGACCATGAGGGACTGGTGCAGGATGGAAATAAGACTGGTTGCTTGTAGTGGGCTCTGGGGAGTGATTCCTGGGAGCTACTGGGAGGTGATGACCAAGAGATACTGGGGGGTGATGGCCAAGAGGTGCTGGGGAGAAATGGCCAAGAGGTGCTGGGGGTTGATGGCCAAGAGGCGTAGGGAGGGTGATGGCCAAGAGGTGTAGGGAGGGTGATGGCCAAGAGGTGCTGGGGAGGAATGGCCAAGAAGTGTTCAGGGTTGATGGCCAGGAGGTGCTGAGGGTGGGATGGCCAAGAGGTGCTGGGGAGGAATGGCCAAGAAGTGTTCAGGGTTGATGGCCAGGAGGTGCTGAGGGTGGGATGGCCAAGAGGTGCTGGGGAGGAATGGCCAAGAAGTGTTCAGGGTTGATGGCCAGGAGGTGCTGAGGGTGTGATGGCCAAGAGGTGTTGTAGATTGATGGCCAAGAGGTGCTGGGGGTTGATGACCAAGGTCTGTGGTGCTGGGAACCTGATCCACCCATGAACATCTCTGCACCCACCACCTTTTCCCGAGCCCCAGTGCAGCAGGAGGTGCAGTTATCCCACAGAAGTTGCCCCCCCTAAGGTGGACCCCCACCTGATGTTCACGAATGCCCATCTGCGGGAGGATGGGTGCCAGATCCGGCTGGCACGGGGAGGTGTCGGAGGGGGACGTTTGGGACTGGGGAAGGATGGGGATGTGCAGGGACTGACCCCCACCCACTGTGCCCCTCTGTCTTGCCCAGGTGAACGTGACGGTGGACTACATCCGACCGGCCAGCAGTGCCACCGAGACCGTGCCCGCCTTCTCCGAGCGGACCTGTGCCACCGTCTCCATCGGAGGAATGTAAGTGGGGAACCACCGTGGGGACACTGTGGGATGGAGGGTGGCTCGTCCTCGCCGTGGGTCCTGCTGTCCCACTCTTTTTGGAGTCCTCTGCGCCCCCGTGCTTGTCACCCCCCAAATCCAGCAGTTTGGGGGTCCCCCGTGCGCCGGCCGACCCGGGGAGCAGCGTGGCCGGTGGGTGGCTTTGGAGGAGCCATCTCTCCTGGCTGTTTGTCCCCGGGGTGTCTGTCCTTCTCCCGTGGTGACCTGGATTGGGGTGAGCATCACACCTGGCTGGGGTTACTGGTGATGCTGGGATGGTGTCAGGATTTCGTGGCTGGGGTTACTGGTGATGGTGGGATGGTGTCAGGGGTCTGGATTTCATGGCTGGGGTTACTGGTGATGCTGGGATGGTGTCAGGATTTCATGGCTGGGGTTACTGGTGATGCTGGGACGGTGTCAGAATTTCGTGGCTGGGGTTACTGGTGATGCTGGGATGGTGTCAGGATTTTGTGGCTGGAGTTACTGGTGATGCTGGGATGGTGTCAGGGGTCTGGATTTCGTGACTGGAGTTACTGGTGATGCTGGGATGGTGTCAGGGTTCTGGATTTCGTGGCTGGTGTTACTGGTGATGCTGGGATGGTGTCATGGATCAGGATTTCATGGCTGGTGTTACTGGTGATGCTGGGATGGTGTCATGGATCAGGATTTCATGGCTGGTGTTACTGGTGATGCTGGGATGGTGTCATGGATCAGGATTTCATGGCTGGAGTTACTGGTGATGCTGGGATGGTGTCAGGGGTCTGGATTTCGTGACTGGAGTTACTGGTGATGCTGGGATGGTGTCAGGATTTCATGGCTGGTGTTACTGGTGATGCTGGGATGGTGTCAGGATTTCGTGGCTGGAGTTACTGGTGATGCTGGGATGGTGTCAGGATTTCATGGCTGGGGTTACTGGTGATGCTGGGATGGTGTCAGGGATGAGGATTCCTCCCCCCATGGCACAGGGTATTTATCCCTGCCACAGCTGGGGGGGCTCTGCCGGAGCAGCCCCCCCATTTCACCATCCCTCTCCCCCCTTCCCAATCCCGGGGCAGATTCCTGGGGCTTTCCCCCAGGACACTGGGATGCCGGGCCCTGCGGGGAGCACGGCGTGTGTTGGGATGGCAGCGGCTCCGGGAGCTGCGGAGGGATGATTTGTCATAGGCCCGTTCAGCTCGCTTTTTTTTTTCTTTTTTTTTTTTTTTTTTTTTTTTTTTTTTTTTTTTTTTTTTTTTTTTTTTTTTTTTTTTGCCTCGTAGCAGCTATTTTGGAAAGCAACCAAAGTGCTGCAGCGCTGCGCTTTTCTCCCCCACCTCCAAACCCCAGCCCGGGGAGAGCTGCGGCGCTGGCAGCGGGGAGGGAGGGAGAGGTGGCTGCGGGGGGCTCCCCGTCACCCCACTCCCCCCCCCGAATTCAAGCCCTTTATCTCACGAGTGGCTTTAATTTCCACTCCAGGAGCAGAGGAGATCCAGCCGGATGCTGCTCCCAGGGTGAAACCGTGGCTCCGGGAGCCTGAAGGGCTTTCCTGGGTGGAGATGCTGGGTGTAGGGGGGGGGGCCAGCAGAGCATCCCTGGGCTTTAAACCCCACTGGGTTTATTCAGTGGTGCTTTATCCACCTTCCTGGATGGATAATTCTCCAGCTGTGTGTGTCTCACCAGGTTTTTGGGAGGGTCAGCCTGGGCCGTGGCGTTTTTGGGGCTGTTTGGAGGAAGATGAGCTCTTGGGGTGTTGGTGATGCTCAAGGAGGGGAGGCAGCGGTGGGTGCGAGACCCACCTCAGCCCCTCCAGCTGCAAAAATGCCCTCTCCAAGAAGCTCCTGAGCCTCATCCCTCGCTCGGGAGGAAACCTGAGGGGAATTTGTGGGGCTACTGCTCGCCCTGACTTTGTCGCCCGGAGTGGGGCATCAGCGTGGGGAGCCAGCCCCGCAGCATTTCGGGTGTGGGGCAGGGTGTGGGGCAGCCCCCTTGCTCCCTGCCGGCCCCGGGGGGAAGCGTGGGTGTAACAGAGGGGGTCTGTGCCGTCTGGCCCGGGGAAGAAAGCCCGGCTTGTCCTCCTGGCATCTGGGCTGGGCTGAGGCTGCTTGGCAGGCTGAGCACGCCGGCGGCTCGCCGGGGTGGGCAGGGTCCTCGTGTCCCCCGTCCCTGCCCCTTGGTGAGGGCAGATGGGGGGTCCTGCCAGCCCCCCCCTGCCCGTGCTGGCAGTGGGGTGGGCAGAGGGGAGCCCGGCCAGCCGTGGGGTGCACCCCAGGGGTCCCCACCTCTCCCTCCCCGAGCGTGGCGGGAGGATAATGCCCACCCTCGGGGGTGGGAAGAAGGGGATGGTCCCCCACCCGCAGCATCCCCCCTCCTCGTGGTGCTGGGTGGGTTTTTGGGGGGGCAGTAGAGCGGCTTCTTCTGCCTGGCCTGAAGGCAGCCCCTGCCTCCAGCTCAGGGCATCATGAACTTGAGGAGCTGGAGCAAAACCCAGCCTCTCCTGCCTGTATCCCTGCCCAATCCCTGCCCAATCCCTGCCTGTATTCCTGCCTGTATCCCTGCCCGTATCCCTGCCTGCATCCCTTCCTGTATCCCTGCCCAATCCCTGCCTGTATCCCTGCCTGCATCCCTTCCTGTACCCCTGCCTGTATCCCTGCCCACATCCCTTCCTGTATCCTTGCCTATATCCCTGCCTGTATCCCTGCCTACATCCCTGCATCCCTGTCTGTATCCCTGCCTGCATCCCTGCCTGCATCCCTGCCCACATCCCTGCCTGCATCCCTTCCCGTATCCCTGCATCCCTTCCTGTATCCCTGCCTGCATCCCTGCCTGTATCCCTGCCTGCATCCCTTCCCGTATCCCTGCCTGTATCCCTTCCTGTATCCCTGCATCCCTTCCCGTATCCCTGCCTGTATCCCTTCCTGTATCCCTGCCTGCATCCCTGCCTGTATCCCTGCCTGCATCCCTTCCCGTATCCCTGCCTGTATCCCTGCCTGTATCCCTGCTCGTATCCCTGCCTGCATCCCTGCCTGTATACCTGCCTGTATCCCTGTATCCCTACCTGCATCCCTGCATCCCTGCCTGCTTCCCTTCCTGCATCCCTGCCTGTATCCCTGCCCACATCCCTTCCCGCATCCCTGCCTGTATCCCCGCATCCCTGCCTGTATCCCTGCCTACGTCCCTGCATCCCTACCTGCATTCCTGCCTGTATCCCTGCATCCCTGCCTGTATCCCTGCCTGTATCCCTGCCCAATCCCTACCCGTATCCCTGCCTGCATCCCTGCCCACATCCCTGCCCACATCCCTTCCCATATCCCTGCATCCCTGCCTGTATCCCTGCCTGTATCCCTGCCCATATCCCTGCCTATATCCCTGCCCACATCCCTTCCCATATCCTTGCCCGTATCCCTGCCTGTATCCCTGCCTGTATCCCTGTATCCCTGCCCATATCCCTGCCCAATCCCTGCCCAATCCCTGCCCATGGTGAAGCCTCATCATCTCCCCCCGAGGGTCTCCGAGCTGGGTCCATCACGCTTTTCCCTCCCAGCTCCCCGGGGTTTTTCAGCCTGATCCGTGGCTGGGAAACGCTGGTCCCGCTGCCGGGGGGTGGGGGCTCTGCCCGATGCCCACGTGCCCACATACCCCTCCCTGGTCCCGCTCTGCGGGTGCCTGGTGTGCCCTGTGCCATGTCATAGAATCATAGACTTGCCCAGGCCGGAAGGGACCTCCAAAGGCCATCTAGTCCCACCCCCCCGCAGTCAGCAGGGACACCCCCAACTAGACCAGGTTGCCCAGGGCCTCGTCGAGCCTCTCCTTGAATATCTCCAGGGAAGGGGCCTCAACCACCTCCCTGGGCAACCTGTTCCAGTGCTCCACCACCCTCCCAGTGAAGAACCCTCTCCTCATCTCCAGTCTAAATCTGTTCCCCTCCAGCTTGAAGCCATTGCCCCTCGTCCTGTCACTGCAGGCCTTTCTAAACAGGCTCTCCCCAGCCTTCCTGTAGCCCCCTCAGGTACTGGAAGGCCGCTATTAGGTCTCCCCGGAGCCTCCTCTTCTCCAGGCTGAACAACCCCAGCTCCCTCAGCCTGTCCTCGGAGCAGAGGTGCTCCATCCCCCTCATCATCCTCGTGGCCCTCCTCTGGACCCTCTCCATCAGGTCCATGTCCTTCTTATCTTGAGGGCTCCAGACCTGCACACAATACTCCAGGTGAGGTCTCACCAGAGCAGAGCAAAGTGGCAGAATCCCCTCTCTGGACCTGCTGGCAACGCAGCTTTTGATGCAGCCCAGGATGGGATTGGCCTTCTGGGCTGCAGCTGCCCACTGCCTGCTCATGTCCAGCTTCTCCTCCATGTCAGCACCTCCCTGCGCGTGTTCTCCTGCTGAGCACAGGTGAGGGCAGAGGGCTGTGCTGGGCTGTCGCTGCCAAGCCCGTGCTGACACGGAGAACAGGGAGAAGGGGCCAGGGATGGCAGAAAAAAAAGCATCTGCAGGGACATCGGGGACCCCGCAGGCACCTCCTGTGCCCGTCTGGGCTCATGGGGATGGTTGGGAGGGTGTCCCTGCATCCCGGGCACGATTGATGCTGAGGCACCCGCAAAGAGGGGCCTGGGGATGATGGCACGGGTCTGATGTGACCCAGGGACTGACTGGGTGCAGGTCAGGGATGGGGGTTCACACCAGGATTTGGTCTTTGGGAAGGCCCTGGCATCCCGCAGCATCCCATGGCATCCTGCAGTATCCCATATAGCATCCTGCAGTATCCCATATAGCATCCTACAGCATCCCATATGGCATCCCACAGCATCCCGTGGCATCCTGCAGTATCCCATATAGCATCCTGCAGCATCCCATGGCATCCCATAGCATCCCACAGTATCCCATAGTGTCCCACAGTATCCCATAACATCCCACAGCATCCAGTATAGCATCCCACAGTATCCCACAGCATCCCACAGCATCCTTCAGCATCCCGTGGCATCCTACAGCATTCCACATAGCATCCTGC